CAATGGGCTTTCTAATTCCCGGATCAGCTTCAAGAGATTCTAAATCAACATCTGAAATAAATGTTTTCTTTTGAATTTTCGGAGCTATGGTTGAAGCGGTAGATGGATGAGTAGAGCTAGAACTTGGATGCCCAATTTTTGACTTTGTGACATACTTATCCATCTCAATTTACAAAGATAAATTTCTGGAAAACAAATCAATTTTATCATAGAATTAATTCACATAATTCAATTAATTTTTATTGAAATCTATAACTTTCTATCAACAACCCAAACAACAATTAATATATCTATTTGATCTTTCAACACCACAAGCAATAATTAGCAATATATGAGTCAATGAGCACAAAATTTTCAATTGCACAATTTGTTATTTGTATACATCCTAAAATTTAATTTTTGAATCAAGTAAGTTGGTAAGAAAAAAAAATTATTTCAAAAGTATTCAAAAAATATATTTTAATCACAAAACACTAAATATGTGAGACTCTAAAGTCTAAATCTATTTATCAAGTAACAAAAAAAAGTATGTGGAATATATTTTAAGAATTAAGACTTAAAGAGTACTAGCCATAAGCAATGAAAATCTCAAAACCTAATTTCCCTAACCCTTTTTTTCATTATCTAACTTTAATCAAACATTAAATCTTATTACCTTGCTTTTGTATTTTGATTTTGAAAAGAAAAAAGCTTGAAGTTTGTTGTTGGGTTGGTTGCTTTCTCTTTGAAACAAGAAGAAGAAGAAGAATGATTTCCTCTTTTTGTTAAAAGAAAAAATCCCATAAAAGTGGGCAGTGAAAAAGGTTTTAAAATATAGAAAAAGTTTAAAATAAAAAAGAAAGAAAAAGTTAGTCACGCTGTGGGGATTCGAACCCTCGCCCTCATGCTTCGCGCGCATTATTTTTCCAAGTGTTAACCAGCGCACCCACGACTGCTAGTGTTCTATGGGTGCTTATTTTTCTTTAATAACATATTTATCATATTTTCTATATATATATACAAATTTTTTTCCGGAGTCAATGGGTGCTCGAGCACCCAAAACTGACTACGTGGGTCCGCCCCTGCCCACGAAGAATAAGAAAACTCAAATCCATAGAGAATTGCTTGATGAATATCAGAACGGGAAATGTTGTTAATATTAGGCCATGAGGTGAAGCCAATAAATTCTGCTCTGCATCCATCACTCACTTCAGAGACTTTCATCTCTCCAATCTTTAAATAAGTGTATCTGCTTAATTTGCAGCCACTAATTTCCACAAATGTCGAATCATTAACAGCAGATGGACATTTGAACATGAAAATGGGTGCGGTTTTTCTATGCTCTGATGTATAATAGTATGAGTTGAAGAAACTACTGTATTTGTGAAAGGTAAGCTTAGAAGGTATGAGAGAACATAGATCATCTTGTGTTTGTAAAGTCGGATCTACCAGGTGAATTTTCTGATTATCATAGTCGATGCTTTGAACGTGCAACTTCTTGGAGAATAACCATAAAACTGTTTGGTTACCTTCACAAGCTAATTCAAATCCTGAAAAATGACAATATTTTGGATCGGTGTTTAAAATGAAAAGGGTCTCTTATGTTACGGATATCGCCGCAAGCAGAATGAGGACAGTTGATCTTCCAAGCATTGGATGTTTGCAGAAAGATGATTTGAAGGATTAATGTGAAATATTTAAGCTGAGAGTTCCTTTAGTACATTTGTGTATCAGCTGAGACTTCACAATTATTGTTGAGTAAATGCAATTATTGAAGCTTTGTGAACTTTTCATTACCAATATTACTCCTTAGGGTCCCAAACCAATGGAAGACTTGTGTTTGGTCCATGATGGGAAAGTTGCAAGTTGATGAAGGGCCCTCATGAAGAAGACTTCCAATTTCTTAGTGAGGGAGATGGATATGTCATGTTTCCACTTTCCCCCATATGCCAAACTGTGTATTTGTGTTGAGCGGTTGTGACTTTATATATTTATTTATAGGCATAATACATAAATATGTTTTTTAACGTGGTCTCATTCAGTAAACAGTTTAACAAGTAGACACATGAGTATACGTGACATAATATACATAGGATCCATATTGTTATGTAGGATGTCATGTAGGACACATGTGTTTATTTGTTCTACTTTATAAAAGTTTAAGTGTCTACTTGTGCAAACTCAAAAGTTAGAGGGCATAAATGTAAATTGAGGTCAAGTTAAAAGGCATATTAATGTATTATACTTTATTTATATTTACCTAGACATTTAATTGATAAGCATAACACATAAATAGGACCTTTAACTTGGTTTCAAATTTTAACTTTGACGTTAAACTTTCAAAGTGCACAAAGAGGCACTTTAACTATCCAACTCTTGAATAAAAAAACACTCGAATCCCACCTAGCAAACCACGTGATATACACTCAATTTGTGCGCGCCAGGAGTAAATTTCGAGGCCCACAACAGTAACATATATGTTGAAATGACAATTATACCCTTAATGAATCCCTTTTATATATTTCTGTATATTTTCTAATCAAAATCCCATTTTTTCCTCTTCTTTCAAATCAAGTTTTTTTTTTCTCTCTTTAGCACGATTTTTGCTTGCTTTTAGTGCAAACGGCTTCTAATTTGTTGTCATTGTGGGAAAAGAGCTATAATTAAAGATTTCTTAGTCCACAAACAATACAGGTCGTTGGTCTGCAAACAATCCAAATTTAAGCAACGATTCTACCTTCTATCAAAAATTAACTTTCAAAAGGGAAAAATTAAAAATACCTGGACTAAATTGAGGAAGATGAACATATAAACATTAGACTATATGAACTTTTAGCACAAATCTTGAACGATTTTCCCTTGATTCATGATTTTGGTTGTAAATCCACAGCTAGGGGTTTGCGATTTTGAGAGAGAAATAGGGTAAAATGGAACAGTTTCACCCTTGTATTAATTTGAATATTAATTTATTTTTAATTCTAATATCTACGTGGAAATTTCTTAATTAGTTGGCAACCATTGAGTGACTCATTAATCTACGTTGGAGCGTCTGCATTTCACGTGTTTAGGCTGCAATATTCGAGTGTTTTTTTTATTTAAGAGTTGGATAGTTAAAGTGCCTCTTTATGCACTTTGAAAGTTAAAGGTCAAAGTTAAAATTTAAAGCCAAGTTAAGAGTCATATTTATGTGTTATGCCTAATTGATATTACAAAAGAAAACATATGGTCAGTAGTTAGCGATTTCCTACAAAGTCCTAAGTTATAATATCGAACCAAAAGTATAAATCGGTGACAATCAAAAATTCATACTCATAAAGTACAAAATAAAAAATAGGCATAATACATAAATATACCCTTTAGTTTGGTTTCAACTGACATCTATGTCGTTTAACTTTGAGTGTGCACAAGTAGACACTTAAACTTAAATAAAATTGAACAAGTAGACACACATGTCTTATGGGACATAATACACATAGAACACCATGTAGGACACAAAATTGTCATGTAGGACGCCATACAAATGTGTCTATTTGTTCAATTTTATACAAGTTTAAGTGTCTACTTGTGCACACTCAAAGTTAAAGATCATAGTTACCAATTGAAGTCAAGTTAAGGGTCATGTTTATTTATTATGTCAATAATATGATATCATTTGTTATGAGTTATGACTTTAATTATCATATTCATATTATATAGCAATATTTAAATAATCTCTTCAGATACTCCTAACGCGCAAAACTATAAGAAAAAGTTCAATGAATTATATTCATAAATTATCTTAAATGCTAAGTAATAGCTACAATAAATATTGTTGCAAAACTTTTGATTTCCTTCCATCTTAATTAGCATAAATTAATGATCAATTTTCTACTTGATAAATTAAATTTATCTTATATAAATGGGCATTTAGAATATAACTAATTCTCTCTATTTGGATGAAACAATATAATATATCGTATGTGTAAACTTACCTGGTATGTAACAAAAATACAGCCTTTCATGTTTAAATATGAGTCATTTAGTTATTATTTCTAAAATAAATTATTGTGCTTTTTATGTTGTGCTTCTCACATGAATGAAAGAATAAGATAATTTTATTTGGAATGCTACGAATATTGTCGTCATATATAGTTTCTCAAGATTTTGGTATCTCAGTAATACTCAATAGTATAGCAATATTTATCATCTTCTTATTTAGCTATCTCTAGGAGGTAAGCATAGAAAAGTTGGTTCAATTAATTTCTTTAATTGTATTTGTGGTATATATAACTTCTCTTGATTTTTTTGTACTCATCGTTACATTTTAAAGTACAGTTGTGTAGGAATCTTGCAGATATCACTATGTACATATTTCAAAATGATCATGAATGTTGAAGCTTTATGAATTTGTTTTCTTTGATAATATCTGTTTTATTAAGAAATATTATTTAAGACTGGTTTAGAGTCGCCACTTAATTTTTAAGAAAAATCAAGAAAACTGTTGTTTTCAAAAGACTAAAACAGAAATCTAGTGAAAACTTGTAAAGGGGTTCGGGGTTCCTATTAATATTCTAGGAAGGTTTTTAAGGCACCTAGAATATCCACTAATGTGGTTATCCGACAATTAATTATTTGGCTAAATTTTATTCGACTTAACTTAACTTGCAAAAAATTGAACTATTTTATAGTTAGAACTATTTTTAAAGGGGAAAAGGGGAAATATTGAAATATTATCTAAGTGAAATATTTTGTAAAATTATTTATTTGTTTGTTTGCTTTTAAGTCAAGCAAAGACGAATAACTTAGTTAAGTGATTAATTCAAAATGGGTGTCTTTCGGGGATTTGAAGTTTCAAAACCTTAATATTAATTTTTAACAAATAAGCACGTAATAGCAGTTAAATGAATAGGGAAAGAGAATTTGGGCCCAAGTCTGGATCTGTCCGCCTGGGCCAGTACTTGGGCCTATTTCGTTTTAGGCCAAAGGTCCATTTGAGTCATCCACACCTATGCTGAACTAACATCAAAATAAGATATCATTTGGGCCTTGGGCCCAATTTTTCACCTGTCCTAAATTCTAGCAAGACAATACATAAGTGGGCTTAGGCCCAAAACAACAAAATACAATTTTTGAATATAGAGTGGGCCTTTGGCCCAATCTTTTCAATTCTCCCCCCCGCTTTCACATCCTTCCACCTTCGAGACCTGTTCGTCGACTTTCCTATAGCTGGCCGACTCGAAAGGAAAAGGTTTGAGCCTTTGTGGCTCTCTCGAAATGCAAAGGGAATGATGGGAGTTCATGGCGAACTCAAGTAGATTTCACATGCAAACACAAATACAGATCATAAGTACCAATCCTTTGATTCAATATGGAAAAATGAAGAGAAAATAATGACATAAAACGTGTATGATACTATGTAAAATCCAGAACATCACCAGAACAGTAGGAAAAATAATTCTCATCTAAAGACTAATTGCAACAAGAACCGAGTAATTTAGGCATGGAGAAATATCACTCACCAAGATACAATTGAGAACCAACAGGCAATAAGCGATAATAGCCAAACCCCATCATTAACTAAGCTTAAAATCCACATTACAACTCTTCAAACAAATTTCTACCTAATCTACTGACTAAGACCAATTATAGAACAAAGAGAGGGAATCATGGGATAAGATCCATGTAGCATTGAGTATATCCACAACACTAATATCTAGGCAGTAACAAATCTTGTAAAAATGGACAAGTTGAGAGATGACATAATAAAATAATTTTGGAGCAAATCAAAACAATCTAAATGTTCCAATCATCACCGTGCACTTCTTATATATATTCAAAAATATGAATGAAGTCATAGTGTCCTAGAAGAGGTTGACTAGAAGGATTGTAAGCAACAGGAAGACAAAATGACAACATGCTATTCAAAACTTCCTAAAGAAATATTAACCGCAATTTAAAACGAACGGGTTTTAACAAAAAAAAAAGAAGGGAAACAGGACAGCGAGATAGGACAAACACATACATGCTAAGGTAGAGAAGGTATCGTATATTTAGAGGAAATATATGGCGGCAACACGCAGCACAAAAGAGCATAGAACTAAATGGACAATAACACCAAAGCAAGCAGTTTGTATCAAATAAATAATTAGTAACAGCCTCCACATCAATTAGTTTTCAAGACCTGTTTCATTTTTTATTTTTATTTTCGAAAAGAGAGCGAAAGAAAACATAGCTTTTACTACATATAGATAAGCAGACCAGCAAACGAGAGGCAAATGATGTGGCAAATTCGAACAAAGGAATAGGAGCAATAACACATCCGCAAGGCGGCAAAAAAAACTTTAGCTCACGATAAGATCAAACCATAAAATCAGCCAAGAACACATGTATTATATTGATATCGCCACCCAACTAATGTCTAACAACAAACAGCCACATAACGAGAATTGCACGACATTTGAAAATGTCAAATCGAAATAGAGGAAAAGACGAGGAGAGTATTAGGACGGAGGAAACGTTACCTTTCTCTGGGTAGCGACTAGGACAACAACGAGTTGGAGACTACTAACTTCCGCCACGAAACTCAAATG